GGCGTGGTGATGTGGCTACTGGTGGAAACGGGACTTGTTGTGGGAGTCCCCATTGAAATTGTTGGGAGAGGTGTGCTGCTTGTAGAACGGGTCAGTGTGATGGGTGTGGTGGAGGTTTGGGTGGAGGTTATGGTTGTTGGGATGGGTGTACTACTTGGTGTCGATTTTGTGGAGGTAGAGGTTGGCAGGGTAACAGGAGAGGATTCTGTTGTGGGTTTTGGCATCGGAGTGGTTGCAGTCTGTGCTGATTCCGTGGTCTTTGAGGTAGGAGCTGATGAAGTTTCTTGGGTGCTTCTTATAAGGATGCTTGTTACAGGTATGGAAGCTATAGTGGAGGCAAAAAATAAAATTAATTTTGTTGGATACCCTTACAGAATTCTGAAATTTCTTTTTGTTTTTTACTCACTTGTATATTGTGATGTTAATGTACTGGTTGTACTTGTTTTATCAATAATTGATTGTTGTGTTGGAATAGTTGGGCGTTCTTGGTGAATTGTCACTGGTGTTATTATTGGTTCATATGTGGTGGTTTTTGCTGATTCAGTAGTTCTTGTTGTTACTGACAATGAAGTTGTTACTGTTGTTTTTCGTGTGCTACTTCTCCTTGTTGTGGAAGCTGTTATAGCAAAAAAACTAATTTATCTATTAAATCTCTAAGGTGTAGTCATTTGAAAATTTATAATAATTATTGCTTTCTGTGATATGATTCTTACCTGTTGTGGTGGATGATGTAGGTTTTAATGTTGCTTCCTCGCTTTCTGAAAAAGGTGAATTGGAAAAGATAAAGTATATTTTGGTACCAAAGTATTAAATAACCACTAGGTGTACTTGCAATGTTTCACAATTTTAAAAAGTATGATCTTCCAGAATTTCCTAGATAGCCTGTTGGTTGGAAAATTCTGGGAATTGATGTCCGTATATTTTTCAGTTGCTAAGGTTGAGAATTAATGCACTAAGTTATGATCTTTAAAAGTTGTATTTAATTAAAAATGGAAAGATTCTCAAATAAATAAGTTTTGCTTTTTGACTGCTGTGACATCAATAAGATCAGCATTATACTTCCCAAACTTTTTATGCCAATTCAAAGTACAGGTCCTTTTGGTGTGTTTTAATATTTTTTTAATAAACAAGTCATTAAAATGGGAAACTTACCATTTCATTGTTATAACTGTGATCACATGAATTGCTTTGGTCATATTCATATAATGGGGTGATTTTTCTGTATGCCTTTGGTACGGGTGTGTTTGAAGGGAGCTAATTGTAATCGTATGTGTAAAAGTTGCAAAAGTTGATATAGAGTAGATTGGTATTCATGAATGAAGGCAGTGTGATTGTGCTCGTTAAATAGTATATAGTTAGTTTGGGAATGACAGCTGTCTGCTTAAGGGAATGCCTCATGGGAGATGCAGTTCATGTCATGTGGTCGCATCTGTAATCCTGATTGGTCACTGAATTGACCTCTGGTGGGTTGGGGGGAGCTTTGTTCATTCTTGTTTGGACCCCAACATTGTGCTGGAGTCTTCCCTTTGCTGTATTGTTATGCGATGAAGATAACTATCTTTTCATTGTGCTGTCTGTCTAATTTTCTGGCTGAATATAGAGACAGGTAGTTAAACAATACAAAGACTTCCATACAAAGTTTCTTTATTGTATTGACAGCACAGTGATGCTTCTTCAGATGTTAGTTCAGAGGAGGATCAACCAGTCCCAGGCATTTCAGGAGGGGAGTTGATCAATGGCGCCAAGCAGCTGGCTGAGAGTGATTTAGCTGAATTACAGCTGCAGCAGGACAGCCCTGAGACTTCAGATGGAAAAAGCATGCAGTCCCTCTTGATGGACTGCACCTGAAGCTGGCTATTTAGTACAGCAGACAGATGGAGACGATGCTGGGAACAATGTATTAGTGAAGGGAATTGCTGGGGAATATTAATAAACTCACTAACCCACCATTACATGTACATGTGAGTTAATGGAACAGCAGAGCACATATACAGTATGTGTCCTGGGATAATGTTCCAAGATCCAATCTGTGTCAGTTACTGGGACCAGAGGTTTAATCTTCCAGGCTTTCAGACTAGTGCTGGAACCCATCCTTAGGACACTTCTCTCTCACCAGAATGTGTCTAGAAGCCCAGAAGACTAAACCTCTGGTCTTGATGACCAATCCAGATTGGATCCTGCAAGATTGGCATTGACTTAAAATTGACAAACACAATTGGGAATGTAGAGAATGTTTGGAGATATGTGCTAGTTCTTTAAAGGTGCAGTTGAGACCACTGTTGTATGGCTTTGGGGAATGACATACCAGTGAAATGCGTAGACACTATAGTGCTGGTGTAAGGAATCATGGTAGTGGAAGTGATCTTCAAAGTGCTTGATATTGAAGATTCTGGGATGCCAGTGGTTTTTGATACAGTAGAAGGAGATGAAGTTACTGTAGTTTCCAGTGTCCTGATGGTGTGTGGTGGGATCGTGGTGGCTGCAAAAATATAAAACATTAAAAAAATAGGGTTAGACTTATGCAAAGTTTGAAATGAAAAGGAGAAAAGGAAAACTATTGACACCTTGTATAATTCAGAATTAGGGTTCCTTTCCCTGGGAGAGTATAAGAGGAACGATAGTAATATAATGATGTTGCCATAAAGAGAGCAGAGATTTGGTACTCTCTCTCCTTATTTGGAGACATCTGCGTTTATTATACATTTGAGTTTGTTAGCCAGCCCCTTTGGGATAACCATAACATACCTATTGTACCACTTCTTTTGCAAACCAAACCAAACCTTATATTATTGTTTTAACAGTTTCCAGCTGAAATTCAGCACTAAAAAAAAATCAGGATTTTTCAATGTTTGTAAATTGGGGGTGTATCAGGGAAGTGTCTGGCTGAGTCACTTCTGAATGTTTCTGAAGCATGCCTGGGAGATTATCAGTTATTCAGGCCATGGTTGTCCCAAAGATGCTTTTTCAAAACACAACTGGACTTCCTTGGTTTTTTTCCATGAAAATTTCACTTCAAGGCCACATGGGGCCTTATCCGTGCCTTTAGGATCACCTAAATCAGAATTCAAGTAAGTGTGGAACCTGAAAGGACTGTGTTGTAAACAGGAGATAGGTGGTGTCATAGTTAAGATCAGTTTTAATGTAGAAGGTCTTTTTGAACCTTTCTTTCAAACCAGTGGTCCTCTCTGTTCAGAATCTGGACCTTGCTGCTCAAAAAAGTGACCTTTGTCTTTCAAATGTAGATGGTACAGATCCTACCAGCAGTTATAAGAAAAAAATTCTCCGATTTCCTACAACTACTGAAGGACAATGCCACTGGCAAGCCACAATACTACCACCAAGTAGCCTCAATGATTCTGTTAAAGACCAGATCACTACAAGGAATATAAATCCTTCCATTCCCCATTCAGTCAGAACTGAAGAAGTGTCTTGGATGAGAAATGGAACATCTTCAAGGAGAAAACAAAGTCTAGTTGCTTTTTGGGATGTCCCTGATGCATGTTTCAGTCATTTTGCCCAGGTTATGGACCCCACATATTTCTCTCAAAATCGACGTAGAAAAATCATAGGAATACAGAAAAAGAAAAAGTACAATAACCTACACTTAAAATACCAATATTTTAAATTTTATATTTACCTGTTACAGTTGTTGGAGTGGTGGTAGGTGGCTGTTCTGTGAAAAGAAAGCATAAGTGAAATATAAACTATAAAATGTTTTGTATTATGAAAATATATTGCGTATATTTTCTAAATTATCACGTATCATAATAAGCAGATATACCAACAAAAATAAGTGTTTAAGAGCTGATTAAGGTGTATTCCTTACAACATGTTCATAATAAATCAGTAAAGCTGGATAGACTTGAAGAACATTTCTGAACATAGAGGTTGTTATTTGAAACTGGAGCTCTTTTCTTACCACAGGGTACGCAGGTTTTCTGTTTTGAATCATAGTACTCTTCATGTGAACAGTTGTAGCAGCCTGAAAGAAAGAGTAAAATACATCTTTAACATTATGCATTCTTTTAGCTAAAAACTGGTTTTGAAATAAGAATTAAGAGATTACTAACATTTGTAAATGAGCCTTGGACAATTAACTATCACACCTTTCCAAATTTGGGCCCATAACAAACTTTAACAAACTGCATCACTGTTTGGTTTGGTGGCTGCAGTGTCTCAGAGAGAAAGTCCATACAGAGAGTGGTAAGGACAGCCGAGAAGATTATAGGAAGCTCGCTTCCTGTTATTCAGGACACTGTTTATAAGTGCTTTGAGCTCTAAGCACAAAGCATTGTTAGAGACCCCACACACCCACTTCATGGTCCGTTTCTGTTGCTCTCCTCTGAGAGGAGGTTTCAAAGTAGTTCCAGCAGGACTACCCAATTCTGTAACAGCTTTGTTCCCTATGCCATCTGTCTGGTAAACTTGCAAGATTCATTTTTCTTCTCACGTACATGTATACATCCAAACTAGACTGTTGTTTTTCCATGTCATATAATATATGTGGGTATATGTGTAATTTTGCATTTATTTACTTTTGCCATGTTTATTTGCTGTATATTGGAGATGGAGACCCTTTTGGAGCTGTATGCAACGAAATGTCATTTTAATGTATGTCGATTAGCATACATTTAAAGTGACAATAAAATTAGAATAAAAGTCTAAATCTATAACTTTCCCACCCAATATTCTGAAAAATATAGACCATTTTTTTTAAAAATTGTAACTTTCTTAGTTTCTGCTAGCTTTGTTTCATCAGAACCTAGACTATTTGACTGTTGCAAGATTAATGTTTCTCTTTAAATATTGCAGTTATATACTGTTTTAACTATTAATTAAACTTCTAATATTGATGACAGGATACCAAAAGTGAAGCTGAATAGTTATGTTTCCACAGTCTGGAAAAGATAGAGATCATTATTGTAAGATGGGATCTATTTCAGTAGAGTTTGTGGACAAATTATTTGAAGAAGCCAGCATTCTCTTAATATTATTATTATATCTATTATTCTTAATATTAATAAATTCAGATCTTTTTTTATTTAAGCCTCATAAACTTCAACTACAGTTGTTTGAAAAATTCAGTGTTCAGAACTGAGACAAGCTGAGCATAGTCACAAAATCAGTGCCATAAGATGAATTTAAGGAAATTGTTCTAAATATTTGGATGTGTCTGGAATTATATCTGGTGGCAAATTTCAAGAAAAAGTAGTGGGAAAGAGACTTCATGGGCCATCATTCATGGGATACAATTGCTACACCCTTGGCTAATGCAGTTTGTAGTCTGAAAAAGGCAAACTATCTTATTTTACCTTCCACATTGACTTCTGTTACTGGTAACATATTTTGACATTTACAGGGGCGATAATGCCAAGTGCAGTTTGCTTCATTGACATAACTATAACCCATGCCAATCCTCTTATGGGTGTTCAAGTAGTCACAGTATACAGCTAAAAGTAAATAAAGAAAATTATTATTCAGTAGATCACAGAAATCACTTATTCACAAGCTCATATAGACAGATAATGAATTATAATAGCGATGCCAATGTTCTGTCCTCCTTTAGGATGAGAAAATCAGGTTGACCATCAAGTTGACAAGTTGATTTCTGAGACATAGAGATCTGTACAGAATTAAATTTAAAATAAATTAACCACCAGTGGATTTTACAACTCACTCCAAATCATGCTTTAATGTATACACTTTTAGCATTGTCAAAATGTTCCTTGGAGCTAAAGAATGTTTGTATCCTGGTGAGTTTCCTTTGCCTGCAATTGCACATAGAAGATAATTAATGGCTTTTTGAAGCTTTGTAAAGACTGATACAAAAAACAAACAGTCTGTGCTCGAAGTTGTCTAGCACGACTGACCTTAATAGGAAGCCCCAGTTAGCCTGTGAGCTGGATAACCTGTGTTCTAGTTATACCAAACGTTTCTCTATTTTAATAACTTTCCTTTTTAATTCAGAGATACTATGCAACAATCTGAAAAGAGAGCGAAGATTTTGAAGTTGCTCTCCAGGAAACTTGAAAGAATTTCAACTTTCTTTTTTCAAGAAGAAACTTACGGCAGAAGTCAGGGGTTCTCCAGTCAATGCAGACACCAGCGTCTAAGCAAGCTTTTGCATAGACTGCAATGGTATCGCACATGCATTCACAATCTCCTCCACTGTCACATCCACATGAGTCCCGGACACAAGATTCATAGTAAGACATCCGGTACACCTGAAGCAGGGAACAAAAAGTTAGTTTGAAAACAGTTGTTTTAGAAAAGCTAATCCTTGTGTTTAACAAAGGCCAGCCAGTAACAATAGTAAGAAAAATGGAGGCACAAGATATATTAAAGAGGTACCCATTCAGTCATTTACCTTATTGTGACAGGCGGCAAATACTGGACTATTGATAATAGAGCATTGTTTCTCGGCCCACGCTTTGCGATAGGGGTTCTTGGTACAGGGATCAGCTGCGAAGGACACATCTCCACAGAGAGGATTATCTTTCCAGGAATTCACAAACACAAATTCGTTGGAAGCTAGGTATTTACTCCGTGTTTCAAAATCATCTTTTACATTGCCATTGTAATTACCGCATAAGCCACAAAGATGATTCTAGTTTTTTTAAAAAAATAAAATAAATAAATAAATAAATATATATATATAAATCATTTGTGGAAAATGCATTGACCCATAAAATACATATCTTTTCATAGATGCAAAAGAGACACTGGTAATTTCAGGTTGTGCAGATAATAGCCATTGGCAGCAGCAGAGGAGACAAAAGAAATTGGCCAATTTCCCTTTTAGTCATCCATTTATTTGCTTCAAATTACAATTTCCTGTTGCTTCCTTTCATAGAGGAAAAAAAATATGGGAAGCTGTGTCTTTCTTCTCTTACAAATAAAACTGTAGGTAATTCTGAACAGAGAAAACATGCCTATGTGTTTGACGGGCCTTTAAAAATATAATCCTAGAAAATGAATGCTAGATAGCTCTTCCAAACTGCACTAAGCTGTGGATTTGTTAAGTGCAAACCAAGCCATAGTAGCATTGATCACAACACCATGCCAAATGCTATGATTTGAAAATCACTAGATCTGCACACACGCAATGCTAGGCTAAAGCAAAAAACAAAGAAAAATAAAAGATTTAGCATGGTGTGTGAAATCAGCAATTGCACCTGCCTGATTTCTGCTTTCCTCTTATGATATCTAGAAGAACATATCATGATATGGGATTACTTATTCAACTTTATACACATGCCACCAGAAATTCATTTTCTGAGAGTTGAAGAAGAATACAAAGCTTCAGGCATGCCCAAATGATAAGGTTTGGTTTTTAATGCATGACGTTGGGATACATGTGTTATTGCCCTTGCAAAATAAGCTTGAAAAATCTATCAGGGTATCTACTTTCCATTACCTTTGTTTCTCTGAAAAGCTTGATGAATAGATTCATGTGCCTGTTCCAGATCAAGGTCATATTGTATTTGCCAGGGATTGTGATCTGAATAATCAGGTGGAGTGTATTCTCTTCTATGAAGAAATGTATCAGAGGATTGCTACCATAAACATTAAATGTTTTATCTCCCATGACGATCGTCAGATTCTGTCAAGAAAATACATGGAAGTGAAAAAATAGGCTCAGGTCTATTTCTATTTCCATTTAAACCAGTGGTGGGATTCAATTTTTTTTTTTACTACCGCTTCTGTGGGCATGGCTTGGTGGGCATGGCAGGGGAAGGATACTGTAAAATCTCCAGTCAGAGGTGGGATTTGCTGGTTCTCCGAACTCCTCAAAATTTCCACTACCGGTTCTCCAGAACTGGTCAGAATATGCTGAATACCACTACAGATTTAAACCCTTCCCAACCTCCCCAGTCTAAGAGAGAATATGTTGCAATGATGGATATGCCTTGGCACGAGGAGAGGGATCACAGCTCAGTTGCAGAGTGTAGAAAAATCAGACTAAATCTTAGGGACTTTCAATAAAAAAAGAATTAAATAGGAAAATGTCTATGGAGATTCTCAGTCATCCAAGACATGGGTTTTTTTTCAAAAGACAACTGGACTTTCTTTGTTTTCCTTTCCGAGAAGGTTCCTCAGTTTTGACAATGGAAGGATTTATATCTTATTTATAAAATATAAGCACCTTTGGGACAATTAAATAGGAGATGGAAAGAAAAGGCTGCTGCACAGAATAGACTGTATTAGGCTAGATGGATCTGATTTGCTATAATCAGTTCTTTCTACCTTTCCCATATATTGCATGGGACAGATCCGATTTGTCAAGGAAAAAAAGATCAACATGCACACTACCTAAGATTTAAAAACACTTCTCACCACAACTACCTCCTGGGTGGGTATGACTGTGGTGCAAGTCACTGGGATTTGTGGATCTACAATGTCATTTAAAATATACCACTGATTAGTATTTTCAGCTTCCACCCTAAACAAATAGTATTTATCTCTTTTCTCAAGTCTTTGCCCATTCACTCAACATGGCAACACTCTTCCTCATGCATAATAGTAACTATAGCATATTCTTACCCCAAGATAGACTTTGATTGCTCTGGAACACGTGACCCCAGTATTTCCACAGACAACATTTTCAGTCACTATTTTAAAAGTATGTGAGGATTTAGCCATGTCACAGCCATCCTAGGAGGGAATGCACAGCCAGATAATGATTAGTTTATTCAGGATAGCAAAAACACATGCAATGAAATAAGGTACAAATACCTCATCTTAGGCTTTTAGAATCCTAGACCCAAGCAGACCGAAGGATATTTGATCTAACCATGATATTAATCGAGCTTTGCACTACTAGGGATATCTTTCTGCAAGGTTCAGGTTAGGTAACCACGTCTCCTAGTATATGGTTCTACCTATAGGACTGTCAGAAGATGCTGGGATGCTACAACTGCCATACATGCATGCCCATTGCCAAGCACCTGCATTTTGATCATGTGATTATGAAACTTCTGCAACAGTTTTAACTGGAAGGACTGGTTGTGAGTCACTTTTTTTCAGTGCTGTTGGAACTTTGCATGGTCACTAAACGAATGGTTATAACTCAAGGGCTACCTGGGCTTACTCCAGACCACAGGGCTTGAATTATTCTAAAAGTTTGAGCATACCTAATTACCATATTTTAAGGACATTATCCACAGGGGGGGGGGGCGAGGTACAATAAAAGAGAAAATACCATAGCTAATATGTATTCGCAGTTGCCATCAAATGCAAAGTGCTGTCCATCAAAGGAGGTGATATGACCTTCCCCGTAGAGATTACACGTTGAAGAGCACATGGAATTCTGAACGCACTTCCATTTTCCTCTTGTGCAGGTACTGATAAGAGAGAAAGAACTTGTTAGAAAGATTTGAAATGGCTAAAGGGTTTGCATGCCGCTTTGGGGAAGCAATTCCCTCGACACTAATTTTATGACGCTAATTTTATTTTCTACATTCACATATTCGATTAGCGAAGCTTCACTGTACAGAAGCGGAGGTATGACATTTCCTAGGCATATGAATTATTAATTGAATTGGCCAAGGGTGCAAATGATTGGGATGAGAAACCGTACCATGTATGGCACCCTGTGTTAATTTCTTCTCCTTTTTCATATGAAATGCCACCATATTCACAAGGACACTCCTCAGGTGACACACATGTGCCATCTAGCTTTTCATACAGTCCAGGTGCACAAACACATCCGGATTCACATTTGGTAGGAATCTGTTAAAAAAAAAAAAAGCAGGCATATAGACTCTGTCATATACTAAGAACAGCATATGGAAAACTAAGGGTACCCATAGCACAGATGCACGTAGCTTTACTGAACTACTGAGTATTTTTTTTAAAAAAAATACTAAGTACATTCAACTTCTCCATGGTTGCTTTAAGCTGTTAAATGATAGCAATAAATAGTGTTATTATAAACATGTGGTGAATTGGTCTGAGAAAACACAATAACAAGACTGATACTAGATTTTATGAAATTAAAAAGTAAGCAGTTTTCCAAATGCTGCTTTAAGATTTTTATAAGGATGCGTGCAGCCTTTCCCAAAAGAAACTTAATTTTAAAGCTGTGAATCAACTCAACAGTCCTCATAAACTTTGTCAACTGCAAAAATTGATTGATACCATGGCGTCTTTGAAGCCATTGATCATCAGTGAAAATAAGTGATATTCTTTATATATTACCCCAGCTTCAAAAGGGATGGTGATAGAAAAGTAGAGGTCCAGGTGTGCTTTTTAAACAATTCCTTGACAATAGCTCTTTCATATACTTGGACCATTGGGCCACATTCTTGTATGAATTCCACATCATTGTGTTAACCTATAAAGAGCATCTGCATCCCTATGCTTTAGTCTGTTTGTTACTTATTGTTTATTTTATTTCTTAGATTCCCATTCTGTCTTTTGCAAGAGCTCAAGGCAATGTACAAAGTGCTTTCTCTTTCCCTTTTCCCCTTCCACTATCCAGTGAAGAAAGTAGACCCAAGAGGGAATGACTGGCCCAAAGTCACCTAGTGAACTTCTGTGGCTGAGGATGGACTTGAAACTGGGTCTCCCTGGGCTAGTATAACATTTTAAACTTCTATCAGATTGTGGCTTTGAAACTATGAAGATAGATTCCCAACTTAAGTCTCTAAAATGAGAGCACATATTGAGACTAGAGGAATGAGATTTACAGTATGATTATGCTCATTTGTGCGACCCACTGAATTTAGTGGACCAGCAAAAGGGATTTAGACAGACACAGACTTCAGAGGATAATTAGAACTGCAGAAAGAAACAATTACTACCAACCTGCCTTCCATTGAGGACCTGTATACTGCACGAGTCAAAAAGAGGGCTGTGAAAATATTTACAAACCCCTCACATCCCAGACATAAATTGTTTCAACTCCTACCCTCAAAACAATGCTATAGAGCACTGCACATCAGAACTAGACACAAGAACATTTTTTCCCCAAAAGCCATCACTCTGCTAAACAAATAATTCCCTCACACTGTCCAACTATTTACAAAGTCTGCACTACTATCACTATTAATCTTCTCATCACTCCTATCATCCATCCCCTCCCACTTGTGACTGTATGCCTGTAACTTTGTTGCTTGTATCCTTATGATTTATATGTTTTCTAGTATTATTTGATTGGTTATTTGTACCCTATGACTATCATTAAGTGTTGTACCTTATGATTCTTGACGAATGTGTCTTTTCTTTTTCTGTACACCGAGAGCATATGCACCAAAGACAAATTCCTTGTGTGTCCAATCACACTTGGCCAATAAAGAATTCTAATTCTAATAAAGATTTGCAAATATATTTAGAACTGCAACCTCAAATTCATATAAACAGGCTATAGTGGCTATCATGATGTAGATTTATTCTTTTTCTGCTACTGTGATAGGATGGGAAATGGGCGGAGCATTTCTCATTTCCTTTGCTTGTGAATACAGAGTTATAGTCTTCTGACATGAAACAGCTCTCATCATCCACAACCCCTTTGATATTAACCCTTTGCAGGAAGGTTTTTGTCCCTTTAATTTGGTGCAACATCAGAATCATATCACCCATAAGGAACTAAGCGGACTGTGGGTTCAACTTCAGTCCCAAAGCAGTGATGTCTAGAACTGATAATCCTGCTCTCTCCCTTGATTATTTAGATACCTGGGAAATATTGCTGCTATTTTGTATTTATGAACATTTTCTTTTGCACGAAGCTATCAATATTCCAAGAATATGCATTTCATTTCATGGGCCAAGCTTTAGTCTGGATTGCAAAGAGGTAACATTTCAGAAGGACATTTCATCATAGAATTAGTGAAACTAGTCTCTCCATCATACAGCTACAGTAATCTCTCGCATGCTTTTGATAGCCCTTAAGTATTTCAAATGTATTGACTCACACAGCTGGTTCCAGTGGCCAGCATTTGACATGTTGGTGCACAAGCAGCCCCATATTTGCTTCCTGAGGAGGCTGAACACGAAATGTAATTTTTTGGGGGGTTGCAGATTTCTGCAAAGAGAAATAAGACAAGCATAATGCGATATTTCTGTCATGTAGGGGAAAAAGATACTCTGGGAAAGAAAATGAGATCCATACCTAAGAGGTTCATTGGTTTGCCAATACAAGTCAGATTTCCATTAATGCAGTAGCTAGAAAAAGAAAAGGTATATTAAAATGCTCTTACAGATATTTAGATTCAAGAAGTTTTACACAAAGTCTGAGCTGAATCATTTATGAGAAGCTATATAATTTTATTCTTGAACCAGTTTAGTGTTCAACAACCATGTTTCAACTGATGTGGAAAAATGTTAACAGAAAGGTGTCAACTGATGCTTACCACGTAGCTCCATCGATTATGGTGTATTGATCTGCCAGAATGATCTTTCTGCCTTTCAGATAGCAGGGACACTGAGATTTCTGGACACACTCATTTTTGTGGTTCAGGTAGGTTCCTTTTGGGCAATTGCAGCCATCAATAGGCACATCAGTGGGATGACATTCAATTTCTCTGCTGGAGAGGGACAGGCATGTCCGGTCGCAAGCTTCTGCATTGTAGCTGAATGTCTGATTTCCAGTACAAGACACAGCTGCAGACACAAACAGCACAATTAGCTTTGGATTGTCAGAACCTTTCAATGACCCTGCTTCTCTTTTCACAAGAAATCAGTAGTTACATATTTGGAAATTCAATGATACAACATCTCCCCTTTACGCCATGCTCAGATTATTATTATTTAATTACAGTTTACTAAATAAGCTCCGGTTTTCTGGGTTTGTACTACTGGTGAAAGCAGTGACATAATGTGTTAGCACACTATGTATACAAGCTCATTCATGGTGTGAACCTAGCTAGACTTCTGCTGGAAAAGGAGTTGGAGCATCCCAGAGAACCCTTGAATCCTGACAGTAGTTTTCTCAAATACCTGCTCAATGTGGACATGATAATACGAGAACAACAAATATGACTCTTGAGTATATGAGAAGAATTGCAAGATCCATTACTACTTAGATTATCAAGACTAGTTCAGCTACAGGTAGCCCTCAACTTACAACAGTTCATTTGGTGACCATTAGAAGACACTGGAAAAAGTGACTTATGACCATTTTTCAGACTTATGACCAAAATTGCAACACCCCCATGGTCACGTGATTTACATTTGGATGCTTGACAAGTGGTTCATATTTATGATGGTTGCAGTGTCCTTGAGGGTCATGTGATCATCTTTTGTGACTTTCTGACAAGCAAAGTCAATGGGGAATCCATTTAACAACCATGCTACTAATTTAACAACTGCAGTGATTCGCTTAACAAATATGGCAAGAAAAGTTGTAAAATGGGGCATAACTCTTTTAACAAATGTCTCACTTAGCAACATAAATTCAGCGCTAAATTGTGGTCATAAGCCAAGGACTACCTGTAAGTTTAGCACTCTATATTAAAGCTATTTAGCAAAGTGGGGAATTCTTGCAGTTTAAACTAATCTGGAGGCTACTTACTGCAGTTGTTGACTGTATTGCGCCAGTTCCAAAGAAATATTCCCTTTAATGCACATTCACGGGCATAGGAACCCAGAACAGAACAAATATATGGAAATGTCTCCTCATAGTTACAAGCTTGATATTGACATCTCTGAAAGCAAGTTGAACTTAATCAGTCACATCAGAAATCTTGAATGCTGGAGCACTAGAACTAGTTCAGATACATGTGTATAACACTGAAACATGCTAGTATAATTTATTTTGTTACTGAATAATGAAAACTGACAGAGCAGTTCTATATCCTTATATAAGTCCTCATTTCACAGAGGAATACAGGCACAGTACTTTGTATTCCAAAATGAAGAAGGTATTCAGTATGAAAATGAAACTGTATCTATGGGTTCTAATGGCACACTAAATGAAAGATTAGTTGAAATACTGCAAAATATTGACTTTCTTATAATTTAGATTAGAAGGCTCATTGTGGCGTTTTGGTAATGTGAACTGGCTATTTTTTTCCACATATTCTGAAAATACACAAATATTCAGAAGTTTAAAATGTTATTTTCTACCAAATTTTGCTGACTCAGTTTCCTAAAGGGCTAAACACCTAATTTTAACACCCAGCAATGCATACCCACAGTTTTAAAAAATGGAATCGATAAAAGCAATAAAATATATTTGGAGAGTCTATTTGGGGAATAATTTATCAAGAGAATAAGGGAAATTTATAGTCCGGGCTACAAAGAATGAAGAGAGCCTGGTATAGCAATATTTGGTGAGAACTCTGGCAAAATGCTGAAGGTAAGATAAATTGCCCACTTTGAACTATTTTTTGTTGGAATTTTACAGCTACAAGTCATATAAGTATAACAAATGCTGAGTACTTTCAGACAGAAATTGTGTATCAGTTCACATTATCTATCTTTAGTATAAACTCATCACCCTGTGGTACAAATTGAAGTAAGAAAAAAATGCATTGTTTCCTGAAGTGCTCTAGCAAATTTGGTAATTCTCTAGCCTGGATTACAAATTTGCCTTATTATCCTGATTCCACATGTCATAATATGATATTCCAGACTACAAAGAACAAGTCTTTAATGCTTCAATCCCAAACCCATTTATCTGGGAACATGCTAGTAATCAATGGGGTCTTTTTTGGACTAAACATACTTTTTTATAAGAAAGGGAAAAGAGAAAAGATGAGAAACATTATTTGGATGAGTTGACAATCTTTAAAAAGCTGGCTTGGCCTTTGGAGAAAAAGAGGCCATTTATCACTAAAATGGTTTTGAATTTTACAGAAGCCATAAATCAGTTCAAAGACACTTTATAGTGGATGTCCAGTGGAATGGAGGGTTCTGTTCCATCTCTCAATGCTATTATTTATTGGACTACCCAGTGTAGTCAATTTCTTCCTTTCCAAGGCCTGCTTCGGCCTAATATTTGGGACTCTGGGTAACATCAGAAGCCACAGAAAATTGTTTGTATCCTAGCACATAGGAGAAGAAGTAAGTCTGCATGGACCTGATGCAACTATATTTCTTCCCATTTATTTCCAGAGACATCTTTGATGGAATGGTATAGCTGTTATATGCTCCTCTTTAAAAGTGTTATTATTCCTACTATTCCTCTGTTCTGCCTTCTTGTCTAATTTATTTATATCCCACCTTTATTATTATTATAAATAACTTAAGGCAGCAAACATACATACATAATACGAACGAACATACATAATATTCTTTCCTCCTCCTATTTCTCCCACAAAACAGCCCTTTGGGTCTGAGAGATTGTGACTGGACCAAAGTTACCCAGCTGACTTTCTTGCCTAAGACAGGACTGGATGTCACGGTCTTTCGGTTTGTAACCCGGGGCCTTGGTTCCTTAGATCACGTAAGCTCTTAAAAATGTGTATGAATCAGATAAAGATTATTTAAAATAAATCTGGAAATACATAAAATCCAGAACTCTGTCATGCATACAGAACTCTGTCATACATTTCATAATCTAATGTCCAGCAGCTTTTCTCCTGAGAAGACAAAAATCCCTACCTTGACAAATGGATCAGGATTCACCACAGAATGACATTTCTGAAATAGTGTATTCATTTTTAAAACAGAACAGTAGGTCTCTGCACATATCTCTGGGGAAAAAAACAGGTATGAAACAAGTTCAGTGATACCAGAGGTAATCTTAAAATGAAAATTTAAACCAACTTTGGAGACCATAGTTGAACTAGATTTGCAATTATTTCCCTGGTTGAATTTCTACCGTGTTTCTCATATAATAAGGCCGGGTCTTATTTTTTTTTGAGCCCCGAAAAAATGGCTAGGTTGTCTTTTCGGGGGTGACTTAATTCCCCCCCTTGCATCTTCGGGCGGGTGGGCGGCGACGGCTTGGATGTTGACCTCGGCGTTGGTGGAGCACTTTGTATCGGGGTCAACGCAGGCAGCACCATATCCGGGTGTGCAACAAGAGTACTTCCTAACGGCAAGCCCCCCCCCACCATTCCCCCCATTTCGCATGTTTTAATATAGGCCTTAATTTGGGGGGAGGGGCTTAATTTCATTTCATGCCTATAAAACATGCTGGGACTTCCTATTGGGGGAGGCCGTATTGTTGGAGAAACAGGGTACATATTCGCTACATATGCCAGTGAAAGTTATATTTTTATGTTTTTCTTAAAGATCCTAGAAGCCTAGCCGATTTTAATCTATTTTTAATTTTGAATATAAAATATCCATTCCCTAGTTAATTTCCCCACTTATACAGCATGAATATTTTTTACTCAGCTATAAGCATGATGTACCCTTTTGCTTGATTATTGCTGAAATTCAAAAGTTTATGTTTTTAAGTAGAATGGCAATGTTTAAATAATATATTATAACTGCTGCCATATTGCTTGCTGTTCTAGTGGCTAATAATCTCTGAAGACTTTAAAAAACAGTGTATACTTCTCCCATAACAACTCATCATCTGCAGACTAGAAATGCATGGTTGTATTTATATTGTATGATTGTGAGTTGGGAACTTACAGACAGCAGCTTCAAATAATAATTGCTCGGACTGTGCTAGCCAATACCTGGTATCTGAGAATGCAATCCAGCCAGAGATCATGTCATTAAAACTATTCAATACTCAAGTAATATATTATAAAAAGCTCTTTTCCAACCAAAATAATAATAATAATAATAATAATAATAATAATAATAATAATAATAATAATAATA